CGGAACGAAATGGACCAATCCGTGGAGCCGTTACGTTAAGCCCCCGCTGATTGGTCCAAATTGACCAATCCACGGACTTACTCACACACACACTCAGTGCATGCAGCTCTGATGATCTCTCCTCCCTGGCTGCAGGCTGATAACAGACAGTTGGGATCGCTGCGAAATTCTCTCTGCAGACCCATTCTCACAGCGTTTATCAACCTTTTTCTTACTCAATATCAAGCCACACTTATTGTTTTTACTTCGGCTGTGACTTTGTGTGTGCTCAGGATGAGTTTGGCTGTGTTTCGCTGTGTATCGCTAAACAAGGAAACAACACCTCCACGGAGCTTAGCGCGATTCACAACGTCCCGACCAATCAGAGCACACTGTGCTCACAGGGAGGGTGGGGGCTGGAGCTACTGGAGGTACAACGAGCCGTTAAAGGCAGAGAGTGAAATTCAGTGAATACACGTAGTTTACATAGATGCTGTATGAGAAACCAAATTGATTTTGGAAAATTGCACAATATAAATCTATTCTAGTAGACCTCAACAATGGAATTATGATCAACACCATGAACACGCACACTGTAGTTCATTTAGAACAACACACACCATCTTGACTCAACAAATGATATATCTTCCTGAGGGACAGACAAAGAAACTTAAACTGAAGAGGAACAGCTAAACCGGCTGAGTGAAAGAGTAGAACCTTGATGATGACTGCGTGTGCCGGCAGGTTGACTCCCCAGGCCAGAGTGGCGGTGCACACCAGCACCTTCAGGTGGCCTTTGGAGAACATGCTCTCCATCATGCTGCGGTCGGAGCGCAGCATGCCGGCATGATGGATCCCAAAGCCTTCTGGGAACATCTCCTTCATCTCCTTGTTTCTTGAGCGCTGGATCTGAAAGTAGAAGACGACATTTTACCTTTCTTAATTCCAATTGAGGAAATGTAGTTTACACTGTTATTGTATACAGTACAAATACATACATACATACATATAGGACTATACACATCAGGCCCCAAATAGACACACATGCATTTTATCAGGCGATGCCAGAACAAACGGGGCTCAGAATGTGGCATTTCAGTCTAACAGAAGGGTTCACAAATATTATTCAGGATTTATATATAAAGTCTCAATCTACAGAAATATTTTTCAATGCACATATATATATATTTATTGTTTTATGTAAAACAAAATCCACGTATATTTAAATAAATTTCTATCTAATATAAATCCATAAATATATGTATTTATATACATATATGTATTAAAATACATTATTTAAAATATGTTTCATGAGAAAAATGTAACATATTCATGTTTTTACCATGAATCATATTTTAAATATTTGTTGTTGTTACTTTTATAAAAACGCATTTTGGGACTCCCCTGACGCCGCCAGCAATGTACTGTTTTCAGCCAGATGTCTCCTTCATTTTTAGCCAATAACATCAGTGTAGCCCATGGATGTATAATGGTGTAGCCCCATGAGGGGATGTTTAATGCGCTCTGAACGTAGCGTAACATCTACGCTGCGGTCAACTTCAACATGGCGTCCGGTGCTCGAGTGTACGTTTAGTGTGTCTTGGCTGCATGATTAAATATGATTGAGTTTAGAATTAGAAATATTGCTACGTTATGGGACGAGTATGTACAGTAGCATGTGTATTAGCGTTTGGTGCGGTGCCAATTTATATAATGCTAATTTACAAGCTTGTAGCATTTGCTAACGTTAGCCATAATGTGATACTAATAACTAATCAAAACCTTATGGTAATTTTTCTTGCAAATAGCTAAATATATGTAATAAAATAACTTCCAAAGAGACCTTGGGAGGGCTCTGGAGGTGACCTGGCACCTTAAGCTGTCAATTGTTTATTTTGGGTCCATACTGGGACCCGAACCAGTGACCATCAGGTTGACACACACACACACACACACACACACACACACACACACACACACACACACACACACACACACACACACACACACACACACACACACACACACACACACACACACACAGTTGAGATGGAGGTGTGTGATGACTGACAGTGGGCTGTGACCCAGCCTGGCCTGAGGGTAGTTCTCATCACAGGACGTTATCTCTCTCTCTGGGCATCTAAATAGAGGTCAGCGCCCAGCGCTCTGAACACAAGAGAAAGCACATTACTGCCAGCAGCTGTCTGGCTCTCTCACACAAAGACAAAGACAAAGA